CTTTCTTTCTTTCTTTCTTTCTTTCTTTCTTTCTTTCTTTCTTTCTGATAATAGAAGAATTTTTCTTATTTTCTTTCTGTCTTACAGAGATTAGCTAAATTTTTTCTTTAAATTTAGACATTTCTGAAAAATTTTGCCAGTAGTCAAGGAAAAACTGAACATCTCCGCTATGTGGGGCTCGGCCAGTTTCAGTGCTGTAACTAACACCCCAAAACAGAGCATCTTCACTCTTAAAAGACGTTCTTGCTCATTTCCTCAATTTCTTCCACCCATTCTATCTAGAAAAATTATTTTTATCACCATAGAATATATTTGTCAAATTTTTTATTTCATATGAATTTAATCCTGTAGCATCTGTTATATATTTGAATGTGCTTCTTTCATTCAAAGAAATGTTTTAGATGTTCATGTTGTGTTTTTAAAGTATCATAGTTTTTAACTGTTGAATAGCATTTCTTTATAAAGATTTAATGACATTTATTAGTCCATACTCTCTTTCATAGGCATTTGTGGATTCTAGATTTTTTTTACTTTTATTAATAAGATAATACATTTGTTTACAAGCTTTTTCATGAATATATGTGTTTATATTTTATTTCTCTTAGGCAAAGTCATCTGAGAGTGGAATTGCTTGCCTCTGAAGTAGCTGGTAGTTAAACTGTCTGCAGTCCCCTTCAGCAGTGCACATATGAGTTCCACTTTTCCAGCTCTCTTTTTTGGTATATCCTGGACACAAGTCGTGACACCTGAGCAGTCTGTATTTTTCCCCAGTCTGCCCCTCCTCCCTTTTACAGCATTTCTCTGTGTAGCCGTGGCTCTCCTGGCATTGCCCTGTGGACCAGGCTGGCCCATAACTCACTGTGATCTGCCTGCCTCTGCCCCTCTGAGTACTGGGATTACAGGCATCTGCCACTGCGCCAGGTTCCCTTACTTGTTTCTTGTATTATTTTTGATGAGCAGAAAGTTTGGAAATTTGGCAAAGCTCAGTTTTATTGTGCCATGTAGTTTGCATTTCAGCTTATTTCAACATGGTGTGTATCTGTCCCATGGCTCAGAAATAATCCTTTTTGTTCCATTTGAGAAGCTTTATGAATCTCTGGTTTTATTATTGCTATTTGCCTGTCTGTGTTTGTATGTTTTGTATTCCTGGAGATTGAACCTAGGCCCTGTATGGGCTCAGCAAGCGCTCTACCTCTGAGCTACACCCCCCAGCCCTTGTTTCTTGCTAGCAGTCTCCTTGTGAAGTCAAAGGGCGCCCTGTAGCTTGTGATTCTCTGCCTTTTGCCTGTATGGACTGGAATCACAGTGGTGCTTCCACTGTGTCCAGCTGGCTCTATGCTTTATGTTTATATTTCTAACTCACCCTGAATCAGTTTTTGTGTTAAGAACAAGATAGTGATTGAGGTTATTTTTCCATATAGGTACCTACTCATTTAAAACCAGTCAGTATATGAAAACTGCTATAGTTTGGATCTTGAATGTTCCTGGAGGCCCATGTGTTGATGCCTTGTTCCCCAGGTTGTGCTCTTGGGTAATGAGAGAAAAACTTAGGTCTTTGGGGCATGTCCTTGAAGGGAATATTGGAACTCTGGCCCATTGCCTTCTGGCCACCAAAAAATGAACACACCACACTTGACACATGCTCAGGTCATGATATAATCTGCTATTGCAGGCCCAAAGCAATAGGTCCAGATGCCCATGGACTACAGTCTCCCAAACCATAAGCTAAACAAAACTTTTCTCTCTTTAAGATGATTTATCTCATTTGTTACAGTAACAGAAAGATGACCAAAATACTCTCCTCATTGCACTGCCATAATACCTTTGTAGAGTCAGTTGATCATATATGGTCTGTTTCTAGACTCTTTGTTCCATTCCACTGATCTCTTTGTATCATAGTATGAATACAAGACTACATTCTTAATTACTATAGTTTTAAAGTAAGTCTTGAATTATAAATATGATAAGCAACCAGTCTTCTTATTAAAAAAAAAAAAGCTTTTGGGATCCATTAATGTACTGATGTAAGACAAGTAGACAAAGATCTTCCATCCATAAACATACTGAGGAATAATTACAGGAGACATGGATTTGAATTGGATGCCTTTGGTTGCCATTACAGCTTATCATAGGCAAAATTGTTCCTTTTTAGTCTTTTCATTTTGTTCTGTAATTACTTTTACAGAAGTAAGATTTTTAGCACCCCTGGGTGACATGTTTTTCTTCTTTCTCTAATACCTATATTTTGTTTTTATTACATTTTTATTGTGTGTGTGTGTACATATGCACACACGTACATGTACACCCACGCCATAGCTCTTTCCTTCCACCAGAGGGTGAATTTAGTTTGTCAGAAGATGTATAACTGGGTTATATGATAGTTGGAACTGTTAGGTTCCAGTGGCTGCACCATTTTATGTTTTGCCCAGCTGTGAATAAGGGTTCCTCTCTCTCCACATCATCACCAGCCTTTGTTGTTACTCCTTTTCTCATTAAGAAGCAACCTGACTGGGGTGAGGTGATACCTGTTTTGTGTTTCACAGATTGCAAGTGATGTTGAACAGTTTGGCTAGGATCTGTCTATTGGCTGCTTGTAATTTCATCTTTGGAGAGTTGTCTGTTAATCTATTATCCCATTTATTGATTTTTGGTGATTAATTTTTATAGTTCTTTATATAGTCTAAGTTTAGCTTTGTAATCAGAGTTGGTATTTTCCCACTTGTTGGTGTCTTTTTACTCAGGTGATTGTTTTCTTTGCTGTGCCGAAGCTTTTTAATTTCCCGGAGTCTCATTCATCAGTTCTTAGGATTATTACCATTTTTAATGGAATTTACCCATTAACTGACTGCTATAGAATCATGTTGAATTCTAGTAATACAAGCTTCAGAAGGGAAGCTACTTATTTCAGTATTGTTCAGGAAAATACCAAGTTAGAGGAAGGTTGGATCACACTGACTATTGTAGAACTTGTAATAAAGTTAATGGTACATTTCAGTTTGTAGCAGTCAGGAGCTAATTCCTGGTTTAGTAGAGTTCTCTTCATCAGGCCAGCACATGATCAGGTCTATCAAGATTTTCTATGATAGCCTATTGGAAATTACCTAGCTTTTAATCCACACTACTCTTTCTCTACAAGATTAGAGTGATGTTCCTAGGGCATTATTTAATACTCGTATTATTGCTGAAATTAAATGTATCCATATGTAATTTTTTACATTTCTTCTTGGTTTTTGAGATGGGATTTTATTAATTATGTATTGAATTCACCATGGATCTCAAGGTGGCCTGAACTTCACTGTGTATTAGCCCAAGGAGACCTTTAACTTGTACCAGTCCATCTGCTTCAGCTTCTCTGAGTAGCGAAATAGAAAGTTGGAGCCCCCATACCTGGCTTTGAAATTATTCTTAAATGTGTACTGGTGGAATGTCTGGATGTTACACAGGGTGACTTTGATCAGGAGCTTTGTTGTGTTTGTTGTTGTAGGAATGCATTAGATTTGGGATTTTTCTTGACTATCTCACACCTTGGGATATTGGAACAATGTTTATGAGCAGCATTAATATGTCCTGGGAAGAGAAGATGATGCAGTAAAGACTTCCTTTCTTTTCCTTAGTTATTGTAACGGTTGGTTTAGGTGTCCAAATGTTGATAACTGGTGAATATTGTATAAAGAGAAAAGTTTCCTAAAGTAGAAACAGTTCTCCTTGTTTACCCCAGCATGTCTCCAATTGTTAAAGCTCACAGTTGAAATAACTAAACTTATATACTTTCTGAATTCAATGGGAATTATAGTTATTGTGCTTCATGTTACCATAACTTGCTATGCAAATTTAAACTTAGCAACTTGAATAAAAAAAGAGGGTGCTTGTAAAACCTTGTGTTCTTTTGATGTTCATAAGTCAGAGGCCGAATCTGCAGATGCTGTTAACGTGTGATAATGAGCTGTCTACATCCATGTGTCATGAAATATGTTTTATTGAAGCCACTTGAAAAAGAAAACAATAAAATTACTAGGTTTATCTCTGAAACTTAAATGTGTCCTGTAATATGTTTGATAAAACTTTCAAAGTAATTACTGGTTGAAAATCTTAGATAATGCTGTCAAATAGTTTCTTATTTATGCCTGAAAATGAAAAAAAGTTGCACGTGTGAGCATCTGCAGGACCACCTGGCTGTTATTTTAAGTGAATGTCCCAAGTTTAATTTTTTTTCATGTGTTTGTTGATAGACTTGTTAGACATAGAAGAGAGAAGAGAAGTAGAGAAAAGGGGGAAAGGGTGGGTAAGCGAGGCTCCTAGTAAACCACCTTGCAGTTAGCGTTTCGTGGTTATGAGTTGGAAAGAACTTCTCAGTTTGGGCCAAATAGTATAAATATTGAAACCATTACAAAAAAATTCTTAAGAGTTAGAAGGGTCATGTGAGAAATATGCTTAAAGAATTTATATTAAATTGTTTTATTGAATTCCTTACAAATGTAGGCTAGGAACTGTGAAAACATCAGGTCTGAGAAGAATGTAAAAAGTCTCCTGTTTTTATAGTTAGATTGTTTTAAGTATGGCTGTATAATTTCATAAAAAAACAATCTGTCCATTTTGAAATTTTATCTACATTCAAAACATTATATAAGGAAGTCTTCATTTGCGTGGCTTGTGTCCTCCTTTTTCAGGTCCTGCTGCTCTGCACGTACCTATTTCTATTTGTGTTAGTTACCTTCTGTAGGTAAATTGTCCATGAGACCAGTGTTCCATGAGCAAATTATCCAGAAAATGCTGTCTTTGCACGTTGTGACAGATCGTGTCACCAGTGGATCTGCAGCTACTGCAGTGGGTTAATTAACCTGGCAGTTGTCTCCTGTGCCCAACACTGTTCTCTCATTGCCTTGGCATCTTAGTTTCCATCTTCCCATTATCTTCTTAACTAAAGCTCAGGTTTATGATTGTTTTGTTTTGTTTAAACCTATTCCACTCAATTATACACCACCCTTATTTTTGATTGGCAGTATCATCCAGATAAACAAAGTGCAGATGCGCCAGCAGGAACCATGGAGGAGTGTATGCAGAAGTTCATTGAAATTGATCAGGCATGGAAAATTCTAGGGAATGAAGAAACCAAAAAAAAGTATGATCTGCAGCGCCATGGTAGGTACTTGTAGAGAAGAGAAGAGCTATGGGAAGCTCTGTGAAGCACAGTGTTCAGGCCATGCTGGGGAAACATTTCCCAGCTTTTGCATCCAGTTATTGCTACCATTATTCCTCCTCCTAGCATTGTTTTTAAATATGTCCTAGTCTTAGTAGTGATTATTATGTGTCTATTAAGAAATTAACAAAACTACTAAGGTATAACTTCTTATAAGGCATGAAAGATTATTTCTGGAAACTACTACAATGTTCACTCATACACCCTAAATTAATATGCATTACATGCCTTAAACTACTTGGTATTAAACTTAGTTATGTGTGCATTACAATCTTAAGTGTGGCGTTCAGGAGGTTATATTACTGTAGCTATGGCCATCTACAGGAAGCTGTTATTCAGGTTAGCTCCTACCACACGCTGCTGGCTGTGCCCTTTGTTTTAAGGTAGGTTTCATGATTAGCTACTCTTCATGAAACTGCTGTCAGTGGTGCCTTAGGAATGCACATTGCTTAAATAATTTTAAAGGTCATTTCTTTTTGCCTTTTGAAAAAAGCTCCTTAAAACAGTGACAAGCTGTTGGGAGAAAGAAAGAAAAATGTAGGTCAGGTTTGTCACACATGAACTGTAGTTACACGAAGTGATAGGCTGTCTTTCAGCACTGGCCTTGGGACAGGAGTCCCTCAGCCTTATATTTGGACCTTCAGTAAGCACCCTACATGCTAACAGAGGTGGGAGGCGGGGGGGTCAATAATCCATTTCAGCCTGTGGGGAAAACATTCAGTTTCTTCTCTGCAGTAGCACATCAGCTCAACGCTGACTGAGATGTGCTGATAGAACTTCATGGTCGCTAGTTGATTTCTGAATCCCCTCCCATGCCAGCACCGGCACACTATGCACCTCACCAAGTGGATTTCTAAGGTGCCTGCCACTGCGATTATGGAAAGTTGACTTGGGAAGCAAGACTTTATTTCTAAATGTAACATTACAGGATACAGCCAGTATGTGTAGAAATCCATAGTATCAGAGGAAGCATTATCAGTAAAATACATATTTAATTTTCAGTGGTATTTCTTTTTTTTTTTTTTTTTCATTTTTGTTCATTGAGACAAGGTAGCCTTGTAGTCCAGGCTACTCTCAAACTCACTATGTGCCCAGGCTGGCCTAGCCTGGTATCAGTTCTCCTGACTGCTTCCTGAGTGCTGGGGTTACAGGCATGTACTCCCATGCCAGCTGTACATTTGTTTGTAATAATGTTTAGTTGTATTACTAGTCATCTCTGGGCCTTTCTACATTTGGATTTTTGTTGTTTGCTTTTGTTTTTTAATATTAGGACCTGATGAGTGTACCATTTTAAGGGATTTGCATTGATTTTTAAATGTGCCTGAAATATCTGGTCTTCTGTTTATATATATATCTGTCAGAAAGAATGTAGAAGTACCTTCATTTGAGAACAAATTCTATCCATAGGTCCATCCTTACCAGCAGGGTTCACATGATAAGTTTCTGTGACTGTATTGGAGCGACCTAATACATTTGAATATGTTGTAATGTTGATGTTTGCTGGTCCAGCTTCATAAAGCCACAGTTCTCTGATGATATTTCTTCACATTTTTATCAGTCTTTACTAATATGTGACACCAGTTTACCAAAGAAGAAGTCATACAAACTATACCCTAAGGAGTGTCAGACACAGGCTGGAGAGATGACTCAGGAGTTAAGAACGTTGGCTGCTCTTCTAGAGGACCTGGATTCAATTCCCAGCACCCATTCAACAGCTTATAACCACCTATAACTCCAGTCGCAGGGCTTCCAATGCCCTCTTCTGGCCTCTGTAGGCACCAAGCGTTTGGTGCACATATATGTTTGATACACATATGTTTAGTATACAAACATATATGCAGGCAAAATTTCTCATGCATAAAATAAAACAAAGTGTGTAGGGACATGACATTCTGTGTGTGTATTTTTGACATTTGTAGCTGTATACTATAAAAATTATGTGAGTGAAACTGGCCACTTTTCCATGCGGTAGGATAAACCAAAACTAGAAAGAACTAGGAAACTGGGTTTAAAATGAGTGTAGTATTGCATGAAGGGATTGTTTCAAAGAGATTATAACTACATGTGATTAATAAAACCTAAGGAGTTACCAGAACTATGCATTTCTTTTGAGCTTTGAATGTGCAGTTTTAAGCTTTTAATAAGCTAGCATCTGTAGCCTGAAGTATCATAGGGGAATTTTGTAGGTAATTGATAAAATCACAATAAAGTTTGGAAAAATCATGATTCAGATAGACTTGAGTTTAGTTTGTCAGTTTTCTTTATCATTTCTTTAGGTGGGTGATTATTAAGTGGCACTGTTCTAGGATAGTAGAAATACAACTTTTAATGACACCTGAGAACTCCATATGTAATGTAAACTGTGTTCTTCGCCAGAAGTTTTGAGCATAAGCTCTCTGTTCCCTTTTAAAAGGCCACTGGCCTGCTGCTGAGAACCTTAGTATCTAAGCGTGTCTTGCTTTATTTAAACCTTTTATTCCAGAGCTGCTTTTCAACACTCTCATCATAAACCTGGTTTGGATACTGATATTAATTTCTTCTTTCTCATCAATAAGTGGCTTTTTAAAAACAAATGAAATGAACTCGAATCTCTAACAGGATTTAGATTTACTGTAAGGAACATCTTTGAGATATAATTTGTTAAAGATCAGTGTAAGATAGTAAGAAGGATAATTGTTAAAACCAGGTCAGAGCACTCAGTTTTTCTGGGTCAGCCCTGGGGACATGGAAATAGCTTTGGCAATGCAGAACTCTTTTTGCATGTGGTGATGGTTATTGTAAAACTTTGTTTTTGCAGTGGGAAGTATATTTACTGCCTGCCTGCCACTGACTGGTAGCATAAGTTTAAGCTGTACTTGTTTCATTGTCTGATGTTTAATGGCTCTTCCTATCTCATGTTCAGAATGGTACTCTGATATAAGAAGCGCATCATTGGTATTGCCAAAGCCGTAGACGTATCCAGAAGCTGATTTAGAGGACCCTTGGCATTCATATTTGTTTACTTCTCAAAAGAAACAACTAAATGTGCTATTTTTAATGAAGAAATGAGGTAGGAGGGCAGATAGCCTTAAGTAAAACATATATTTTTTTCTCCTTCCTTGCCATGTCTGTATTCTTGGCATTTTAGGGCAGAACTGGTCAGACAAAGGAAAGCAAGTCTAAAAGGATGAGTAATACTGGGTTTCTAGATGTCATACATCTTGAAAGTGATATTAACTAGTGAAATTAACCAATTAGTTCCAGTTGGCATATTTACCATGTTGTTGGTAATGTGCAGTTTTAAGCTTTGCATTTCTACCAGAGGTATACTGGAGAATTCTGTAAAGTTATGCAAAATAAATGCTAATGAAAAGATTTTGGTGTCTGTATAAATCTTGTGGGGGAGTTTTCTTATAAACAACAAAAGTATCTCATGGGAATAACAGGGACCATGGCTCAGTAGCTTTGTACTGTTCTGTTGTACAGATCTTAGTGTCTCAGTGGCTCTACAGACCTGGCAAAGCTATGAGTTAGTTCTGTTACCTGTAAGAGGAACAAATGTATAAATGCAGTTAATCAGATAAACTAATGCTTAAAAAATAAGATTGTGTTTAGAATCTCTGCTGATACTTTATGTTAAGAACCTCTTGTTTTCAGTTAGTGTGGGTAACTGTTTTGGTAATGGTGTGCTGTCATTTGAGCAATTGCTCAAGTATATAGATGCCTAAGCAGCCTGGCTGACAGGGATTTGGCAGAAAATACAGCTAAGATGCTACTCTTTGCTGGATATAGCAAGTCGCTTCTGGTGTTTTTTTACACATTCACTTCATTTCTTTATTAGGATAAATATTTGAACATGGAAGATAAGGAAATAAATCTTGTACATGAGGAATGAATCTCTAAAACACCACGAATATTCATGTCTTAGATCACTAAATCTTAAGTGTAAAATTGTAATTCTTTCTGAAAAGGGCCTTTATGTTTAAGACAGATTATAAGAAAGGGAAAAACATGCTTTTAACTGTAAATAATATATGTAAATAATGTAAACTTGGGCTGCTAGTACTTGAAGCCAGTAGATGATTGTGTAAACTATGTCCGAAAGCTGACCTTTACAAAATACTTGAATTAGTCAGATTAGGAGTTCAGTTTGATTTTAGGAATTTCAAAATTGACTGTAAAAATTTGCTTCAGGTGAAAACTTGTAGATAAGCATCGAGAGGTTTGTTTTTTTGCTGGCTGTTTCTGGGAAAAATAAGTGTGTGAAATGATGCAGAAAATCCATCTAGACAGTTGAGACTGGCATCTTAAGAGGGACAGGAGAGCATAGATGAACTCTCCACGAGGGGCCCCTGCCACATTTTATTTGTCATTCTCATTATTTTGCTTTCACATGAATACAAATAACTATTTTTACAATGGGAAGTATTTTTATAATTATTTATTACTAATATTGAATTAAAAAAAAAACACTTTCAAATAATTAGAAGCCTGTTGGGAAAAATACAGTTGTAATTCTGGTGTGAGTGAATACCATTGGAGAGTCTGATTTAATATTACAGATATGGAGGGTTTGAGGAAGTGCTTATTTTCTACTTTAATCACTCTCCCAATTTCTATTTGTTTATTTGACCTAGTTGAAGTTGGCTGGCTCAAAACCAAGACCAGTTGCCTTTCTCATGTTTTGGTTCCTTCCTCTGACTTGAGCCGGTCTTACTCTGGTTACCTCTGCTCTGCTCTGCTTACCACTGATGGATCAGAAAGGTCAGGTGGCATTTCTTCTTTGTGTAGTGTTCCTTTGTCCTGTATATTCAAGTCATCTCACAGCTCCCGCAGTCCTTCTGTTGCTCACAGCCTCATCAACTCCACAGCTACTGTGCCTTTCCATTCTGTGCTGCTGTCTTCCTCCACAGTCCCTACATTTTAGTTGATATACCTTCTTTCCATTTGTCTCCATTTAAGA